GAAGCAGTTTTGGTTTAGAATGTAAAAACAATTTGAACCGAGTGACAAACAAAAATGGATAAAACAATTTGTAAATTTCGATTTGGGAAATTTCACCTGGAAATGAGGAAGGTTCTTTGCCCCCTCTCAGTTCTTTCCTTGGAGGTGGAGTGGGCTCTCTAGTAGAAGTGATTTCAGGCTCAGGCTCATAAGTGGGAGGTGCAATAGGTTCTGTTTTCTCTGACGAACTTTCACTGAAACTACCCAAAAGATCGCCTGTCGCCGCCTCCTGCTCCGGCTGTTTTGCGGCAGAATACATGTCCTCCTCTTCCGTGGTGGTGGTACTGACAGGTTCTACCTTTTCGAAATCTCCAAAATTGTTGTCTTCATTTTGTCCGTTGCTCTGGATTGGACTCTCAAAAGGATCCATGATACTGTCCCCAAAAGAGCAAGGTTATGAAAATGCACTGAAATTCAAAAGGTTAGTCTGCTCGCAAAATTTTGTTTTGTTCCTCTGTCCCGTTAACCTGCAGAATGGCTGCTCGAGATATGAGAATGACGTCATATACCTTCCCAGATCGCATATCATATAAAACCAGGATTGCGCGAAGCGGCCAGTAAATGTTTCTACGATTCAAACGAATATCGACTGAATGTATCATATTTAAAATCTTATTAGAATTAGAAAACTTAAATTTACTGTAAAATAACATAGCACTAGTTTTCACGAAAAGAAGCAAACCGTCTCTTAATCCATGTTTTCGTGACAGCTCTGATATTCGAGGATCGAGAATGGATGGGGATGGGTCGCTCTCTAACGGCACCAAGATAAAGGTGCCAAACGGATACATAAATGGGTATGGACATCATCAGAATGGTCACATTAAAGGACAACAGAAAGATGAGGTATATAGTCCATAACATTGGTTATTATAATGCTCCTATCCAAATTTTTAATTTAAATACAACTCTGAAGTCAGTAGACCAATTTTACGTAAATGCAAAGTAAACAGTACTACTACTAGTAGTGACCCAACATTTAGTTACACTTGTGCTAATAGTAATGATTCAACCAACCCGGCATTAGTATTATTAAAGATTTTTGGTTAGAGCGACTATGGGTTTACATTCTACCATATATCCAGTAATGGCCTGATTTTGTATCAGATCACCTGATCCGGCGTTTGTATTGCTTTGGTTACAATTCATGCCGCAGTAAAAGACTGAGTCATCTGGTGTTGCGTAAAAGCAATTGCCTGTATATATAAATCTAGGGGCTTCTAATTTGAATTTTACAAATACATATCGCTTCTCAATATTTAGATCAATTTTCACAGAGAATTCAATATTTTAGATACGCTGGAGGCAATTCAGATAATTTCATGCATCAAAATTGAAACAGTGATTAAAGGTATAAATAGAGTGTTAGACTCCATTCCCAGAGTTTAGATCGATCCAACTAGATCGACCTAACTCCCTGGGGGTTTACGCTAAATAGCTGTCAGCCGAGCGGGCACAAAAGTTAATTACCCCCTTACAGCTTGTAGTAGGCGGGACGGACATTTAAGCCGGATTATCTGACAGTAATCTAGTAAGACTCCCTATGGGGATAGATCGATCTAAAATCTATGGGAATGCACCATTAGATACTGATCTGATCATTGCCCAAGCTGGTGGGAGGGGTATAGACCACACCCCTGGGGCCGACCTTGTCAGTAAATTCAAGACCCCAACCTAATCACTGTCATCTCATATCTTAAGTATTTAATTAGTTTCTTTATATTAATTCATAACAAACATATTAATGAATGGTGGATATGGTTAAGACAAAAAATATTAGGATAGTACTCAACTTAAAGAGCCATTGTTAAATTCGAGGCAGTTTAAATTATACTATGGCACCCTGGAAATGCTGGGGCAGTTTAATTAATCAGTTTATTGTGTACTTTTCATTTATAATTCAAAGCAAATAAGCTAAAAGATTTGCATGAAATGTTAGTCAAAATTGAATGAAGACCCATGGATAATTACTGGTTTAAGACCAAAATCGAAGTGTTGATGATTTGGCTTTATTTAACTACTAGTAATAGTATATATGCATCAGTTTTTTAACATCATTGAATAAGTTCAGCAAGTTCATAATGTTGTTCATTGTATCAGCTAAAGGCATTCGTCTAATATGAATATGAGCTAGAATTCCTCTATGAAGTTTAGCGTATGTGATGTAACCAGATACCAGTAATCTTGACAGATACACCAACTGTACTTGTCATTAGTCTTGAAAGCAGCCTTTGTACACATGGTAGCTTGCTAATGCCAGGTTACCTAATATTGTGAACATTTGAGGTATTGTTAGGTCATATCTGTGAATTATCATGTTATCTGTTTCTATGGTTAGAACATGTACTCCCAGTTGTAATGTACATTTGGCACATTTATATGAGGTTATTTCTCTGTGGGATCTAGCATATAATTTTTTTGGCCCACAAATGAAATGTTTCAGCCACATTAAGGTGTTTGGTGAAATTAAGAATAAATATGTGACATACTGAAATATGCCATTTGAGTTTTAAACCCAACATGAATTATTCTGAGCCATTGATGAATGATTTAAAAGTTTATGTGAGCTTTAATTTTTCCTTTTAGTCCATGTCTTAAATCAACAATATTCAATTATTTCAGCTGTCATGGAAGGAGAAGTTTTATGAGTCTTTTGAAGAAACACCACTTGTGATAGCAGTGTTGACATACATTAGTTATGGAGTACTTGTTTTATATGGACATTTCCGTGATTTTCTTAGAAGCTATATATATCCCTCTGAAACCCTTCCTACAGCTAAGGATTATTTAAAGGTTGGTTTTGAGTACTTTATTATTATTGCATTTATATTTTTAAGTATGGTATTTGATATGTATTCATTAGTGTTTTTTCTTAATAAAATGTTTTTATAAAATTGAATTTATGCATTAATTTTACTCAGTTTTTGATATCATATATATCAGTCTAAGAAATTAGTTCTATACAGGCATTCTAAATAAAATAACTAAAAGATGCTAGAAAAAGTGCATTTAAAATGTTCGTTTACTACCTGTATAGTTTAACAGTCACTTGACTATTTTGCCCAATTTTTGTTGATGGTTCTTACATTTTCATAAATGTTTAAAAAGTTGTACTTCTTTTCCTTTATTAGGGGTTTGTACCACTCTACCAGAGTTGGGAAAGTTTTTACACACGTAACATCTACAGAAGAATCCGTGATTGCTGGAATAGACCTATTTGTTCAGTGCCAGGAGCAGAGTTTGAAATTTGTGAGAGAGAAACAAATGACAGTGGTCTGACTTTTAGGTAGGTAATGCAGCATGGCTTTAATCTTACTGTAACAAAACTTTGTCTGTGGTTTAATTGTATTTTGCTGGGTAAAGTATTAAAAGATGGGTATAAATCAAAAGGAATTAAATAGTTTGATAATTGCCTATTTGTTGATCTGGTAACATTCATGGTGAAGCTATCTATTATATGCAAGTTGAACATGTGACACCAATACACATTTTTTCAAGCAAAACATCGTCTCAGTATCTCCATAAAGGATCCAGGCTCCAGCATTTTATGCATTTACAACCTGCATTCCCCTGATTAGTTTACATGGTATACCTACTGGTAGTCAGTGCTTTTAAACAAAGGGACTGCTTATCAAATGGGAGGGCAGTTTATCTCTGTTGTGAAGTTTGTTTGCTCCAGACTATTTGGTGTCATCATGGTTCATACCAGGACAGTACAAATCCTGTGTGCTATGTTTAGATCAGTTTGAGACATATTAAGGTGAATTCACACCTGCCGTAGATAAAATGGTTTTGAAGCACTCTGTCACACAAGCAATAAGCTGTGAGGATTATCTCATGCTGGGGATTAATAAAGAAATGCTTTGAGGGTGTGCCACATTGAATGGAAGCGGTGTTCATTTTGAACCAAAAATACGAAGTTAAGAAATGAAGTTATGCATCTGTTACATTTGCCTTCTTCACTTACTGAAGTCAGCCAAGGAAGTAGATAGCATCCTATCTACCTCCTCGAATCAGCTTACTCTTCCAGCAAGCAAAACATTCACTACTGGTTGCTTGCATTTGTATTAGAAATCACCCCACACACTAACACATACACTATCTCATACATACATGTTGATATTTTAATTTTGTATTTGCAGTGTATTAAGTGATTAATATTCAACTTCATCTTCAGGTTCACGGGGAGGAAGATTAAGGCTATCAACATGGGCTCCTATAACTACCTGGGTTTTGCTCAAAGTGAGGGCCAGTGTGCTGATGCTGCAGAGGAAGCCACCAGGAAATATGGCGTGGGAATATGTAGTACCAGACAAGAGCTAGGTAAGGTTTGTTTTCACTGGACACATCTAGGTCTGTCTCTCCTACTACTACGTAGTTTGACTCTTTCTCTGCTGGTCTCTATTTTCCATGGTGGATAGTAGAAACCTGGGAATCTCCTTGGCAACTGCCAGCAGAGCAACAATATGCTTTGGCTTCCATAAGATTGAGTTGTGTACAACTTTATTTTTGCTCCTCCGTCAGTGTCCACTGAATCTGAACCATCTTTCTTCTTGTAAATTTTGGTTGTCCAACTTCATTTGCTGCTACAGGGTGATGTTCTGTACCACTCCAAACATCTTTCTGTAAGCTGTATCCAGCCTCTCACTCAGTGGCTGTGTCAGTGTGTCAGTCCCCATGCCTTCCGTACATAGAGAACTACATCAACTGTTGCTCTGGGGAAGTTTGATATCATTTCTAAAGTTTGTTTTGGATATTAAGCTCTCTTTTGGCAGTGCTGTCCACACATTTCCTACTCTGACATTAATACCTTAGATATAAGGTCTAATGTTATACATTGATCCAAAATACTTAAAAGTCTGGGTCGGCAATGTGGATTGCAATGAGGTCAGTGGCCCTACAGTTTGTCATCAAATCCCTGGATTATTAAAAGGAGTGCTGTTCTGATATTTGATTGTGAACATTGTGTAAAGCATATTGTGGTAGTTACCAATACCAAGTATGCTTTGTGGTTTTTACACATGCAATATCTGAATTATTTGGTTACAGCAACATCATTCACATCTAATGTTATTTGAAGGCTGACTTAGGGATTGTCGTTATTTTTATTATGATGGTTACATTTAAAAATATTTGCAGAATGCTGTTATCAATTAATTAATGTTGTATCATGTTTTATGAAAATTTTCTTTGACAAATTTTCTTTACGTTGTTGTTTGCTACTTATGTTTGTTTTTACATTTAAATAATGAGAGAACCCCCCTCCCCCCAGCAAGCATTCACTCTCAAATACAGGTTTAAGAAGAGGCCCATGATCAGAAGATCAGAGAAGCTTGAGCTTGAATGGTTTTAGATTTAAAAAATAACATACTATCTTTTCAGGATCAACGGATATTCACAAAGAACTAGAAGATTTAGTGGCCAGGTTTGTTGGATGTGAGGCAGCCATCACCTTTGGTATGGGGTTTGCTACTAACTCAATGAACATTCCCACCCTGATGGGCAAAGTAAGTTATTAGCACATTGTTTTGGGGACACTGAGACTGAAATCTCTAAAGCTTTTTGTAAGGCTCAAATCCAGTACTAATTGTAAGTGTAGACCTTGTTGTCTGGCCTGGTATAGAAATAAGAAAAAAAAAATGGTAGGAATATACAGAAAATTTGCATGAAAGGATGTGCAAAACTCCTTTCTTTTCAGTGAATTTAGTAATAAAAAACTTTGAAAATAATTTGAAGTAGAAAGAGGTGTGCATGTCAATGAGCATCATACAAAATGACTGTGCTAATTGTGTGCTATTTGCTAGGATATAGCCAAGCAACAAGGTTTCAACATGGCTCTTAAATTTTTGATGCGTAAAAGGGCTAATGTTGTTAATGCATGTACAGTGGAAATGTACATCAATCATCGTATTATGATGAACAAATTGAAAAAGCATACACACGCTAGAAATATTGGGCCACAACAAGTTTTATCAAGCCACATACTGGGTCAATGCAACAGCATCCTAGCTCGCATTTGAGCCTTAAAAGAAAGCCTGATATTAGAAAGTTACCACTAAGAACAAGTTAGTGCTAGTTAAAGATGGTAACATTGGTAATTATATATGGTAATTCTTTTATCAGTATATTTTACGTGTAATTTAATGCTGAAAGGCATGTAAAATAAGTTGACCACAATTTTATTTTTCTGTATTTCAGGGTACATTAATTCTTAGTGATGAGTTAAATCATGCTTCCCTTGTCCTTGGATCAAGACTGGCTGGGTGCCAAATTCAGGTCTTCAAACACAATGGTGAGTAGACTTATTGAAGGAGCATATGCACGCAGATATTGCACCGAGTGGCTGTTTATTTCAAGTCATCTATAAAAAATGGAACTGTACTGGCTCTGCACTGCTAGACTGTAAGCAACTTTGTACTGAATTTAATTTGCATTCAAGATATGAATAATTGAATTTCAGATATGGATAGTTTAGAGACAAAATTAAGAGATGCAGTAGTGAATGGGCAGCCCAGAACACACAGACCTTGGAAGAAGATACTGATAGTAGTAGAAGGAGTCTACAGGTAAGGCAAGGAGCTCTAACCATTGATGTAGTTTGAATGATTTATAATACCTTTAAATGCACTCTGCCGAGGCACTAATATCAACATAATGATGCTTCTGGGTTATTTTTGGTTGTTTAATGAGAGAATTTATCCCTGCAACCATTTTTGGTGTTTTGTTTATCTACCAGTACTTTTAGGTGACAGATGCAGAAGTTAATAATAAAATATTTTACTGTTGTCCTGTGAAAATTATTTTTCATTTCCATAACATCTTTTTCCATAAACTATTCAGGTTTCTTTGTATTTAACAAGAAAGGAAATGAATAAAAGTAATCACCAGCTAAAATATTTAAGAATAAATAGAAGAAGGCAAACTTTTTATGTTAACGGTAAAAGTTTTATGGAAGGGGGCAAATTCCTATGGGATGGTCAATTTTTATACTGTGATTCAAGTTCAGTTTTGTTTTTGTTTTTTCAGCATGGAAGGCTCTATAGTTAAACTTCCTGAAGTGATAAGACTAAAAAAGAAGTACAAGGCATACCTGTATTTAGATGAGGCTCACAGTATAGGTGCTATTGGTCCCACTGGGCGAGGAATTGTGGAGTATTTTGGCTGTGATCCCAAGGACGTAGACATAATGATGGGGACGTTTACCAAAAGTTTTGGTGCAGCTGGAGGATATATAGCAGGAACTAAGGTGGGAAGGCATGTCCTAGCCCCTGGGAAAATTTGTCACATTAAACGCTCACTTACAGTTCTCAACCTGTCCTAGAACATAATGTTTTTCTCTTTTGATGAAAAATGTTCTTAATCTGTTTTAGGACATTCTGAAGGATGTCCCAAAAACAGTTCTCAAACTATTACATTCATTACAGAACAACATTAAAACTGTAAAAAAAAAAATACACCAAATGTTCTAGAATAGATTAAGAACCATAAGTGAATGTTAAATGAGACAAATTTTCGCAGGGAGGGGGAGGATTGTTCAGCTGTGCTTAGTATACAACATTTATACTGGGTTTCTAATTTTGAATTCCTACCAAGGAAAGCCAATCTAGTTGTATGGGGCTTATTGGAATTTAATTAAAAGATTTTTGTGAGGCGTTTTTTTTTTTTTTTTTTTTTGTGGGGGGGGGGGGGGGGGGGGGCATAGTAGGG